TAAAAACATGGTCAGTAAGTGTATTGTTGTAATTGTAATTCACACGATTATGAAAATTCACCTTAATAGAATCATTTTTCTTCTTTTTTTTGATACATTTTTGCAGCTTGATGACTTGGACTGTCACTGCTTCTTTTCAGTATTGTGTTTGTGTTTGTTTAGCTCATTTCAGATGCAGGTTACCAGGGCGAGATCACCAGCGTGTCCACAGCCTGCCAACAGCTGGAAGTTTTCTCTCGGGTGTTGAGAACATCTTTGGCCACGCTGCTAGACGGAGGAGAAGAAAACCTGGAGAAGAACCTGCCCGAATTTGCTGTGAGGATTACTTTGCGTGTCTGTTCTGTCAACCATCAAAGATCTGTAAAATATGTATCTTTTTGTCTCTATGTGCCACTTTTTTAAAAGTGCTGTAAGTAATGGTCTCTGATGAGCTGCGCCCGACTCTTTCCAACAGAAAATGGTGTGTCACGGCGAGCACACCTACCTCTTTGCCCAGGCAATGATGTCCATCCTTGCTCAGGAGGAACAGGGAGGTTCAGCTGTCCGCAGGATCGGCCAGGAGGTGCAAAAGTCTGCACATGAGAGGTAACGTTGTCAACGGATGTGGTCAAAGTGATCAAGCGAATGTGATTAACTGTGAGATTAGAGTTTTGTGGATGAGCTTGAGTAATAAAAACGGTGCAATAAAGGTGGCTTATATTGCAGAGGTCACGATGCCAGTCAGATAACCCTTGCGCTTGGTACAGCGGCAGCCTACCCTCGAGCCTGCCAGGCTCTCGGCGCCATGTTGTCCAAAGGAGCCCTGAATCCTGCTGATATAACAGTTTTGTTCAAGATGTTTAGCAGCATGGACCCTCCTCCTGTCGAACTGGTGAGTTCAGAACATTCTTCCTGCTGTTTATGTCTAGTGTTTACTAACTAAAGCACTCTGAATTTAAGCACTTGTCTGTCTTGTCTTTAGATCAGAGTGCCAGCCTTTCTCGACCTGTTTATGCAGTCGCTTTTCAAGCCTGGATCGAAGATCAACCAAGACCATAAACACAAATACATCCACATTTTAGCCTATGCTGCCAGTGTGGTGGAGACCTGGAAAAAGGTACAAAAAACAATGATGCTGTGTGCATTGTTAATTTAAATCATATAATAATGAAAATATGCTTATTTTATCCCAATTCCAGAACAAGCGAGTGAACATTAATAAAGATGAGCTGAAGTCAACCTCTAAGGCTATTGAGACCGTGCACAACCTGTGCTGCAATGAGAACAAAGGAGCCACAGAGCTGATTGCTGAGCTCGGCACTTTGTACCAGTGCATCAGGTGAGTGTTTGACAAGAGCTTTCAAATATGAAATCTTGGTTAGTTGGTTTCATCGTATCTAATGCGACTCTTCTATCATCTAACACACTAATCTTAACCCCATTATGCAGTGAATCTTTGTAAAGGAGTGTAAGGGTTATTGAGACATGTTGCAATGGTTGTTAAGCATCGTTTTACCAGGAAAAGATGCACTTTTAATCAGTGAAAATGAACAAGGTTATTTATTAGAATACAGCTCTTTCAGTGCTTACTGCACCATGGTAGTTACTTTCACCTCTGTTTTTCTTTCTGAAGCAACAAATCTAGTGATGTTACCAGACTGTGCAGTTAATTTTGATATTTTCATAGGCACTGAAAACAGTTCAATATTTTGAAGCAGATCCCGTACAGTCAGATTTGTGTGTCATAATGTTTTCATTGTTGTAGAGTAAGGTCTGTAGTAAGAGTAGGAGGTATATTGTGTTAAAGAAGAAACAAAGGGGAAACTTGAAGCAACAGCATTTTTAATATGTTGATCTTCAGTTAATCATTCAAAGCCTGAATACAGCCCAGCTCGAGCTGATGGGCTTCCAAGATTTACCAGAAGAAATGTGCAAATGAAAAATCTATTTACATGTATGATTATTTAGTTTTATACCATTAGAATCTATTGTGTGTATATACGGTACAGAAGGGTTCAAATATTGGTACTTAAAGTAAAACCGGAGTTTGAGAGCCAGACTTCCACACTGACTGACTGTCTGTGTGTTCAGGTTTCCAGTGGTTGCTATGGGAGTTCTGAAGTGGGTGGACTGGACGGTGTCCGAGCCGCGGTACTTCCAGCTGCAAACAGACCACACCCCCGTCCATTTAGCTTTACTGGATGAGGTGCGACACTGCTGCAAGATGAAAGATTAAATTGTGTTTAATTTGCGGAGCTTGAAGTTCAAACATTAAAATTTTCTCTGCACAGATCTGTACGTGTCACCAGCTGCTGCACCCGCAGGTCCTCCAACTGCTCATCAAGCTCTTTGAGACCGAGCACTCTCAGCTGGACGTCATGGAGCAGGTGGGCGTTGTGTGCCTCGCATGCTTTTAATTCCAGCTTGTTAACAGACGCCTGTGTGTTGTAGCTCTGAGCTGACAGCGTGTTTGTTTTATTTCCCCCTCCAGTTGGAGTTGAAGAAGACTCTGCTGGACCGAATGGTTCACCTGCTGAGTCGTGGCTACGTGCTGCCCGTCGTCAGCTACATCCGCAAATGTCTGGAGAAACTCAACACAGATATCTCCCTCATTAGATATTTTGTCACTGAGGTAACAGCTGCTTATGGAAATCTGGTTTATGTGTGCACTCTTTCCTGTCAGGTCTGTTCTCCTGTTGTTTGTTCAATTTCAGCTTTGCACAGATTAATGTTCACTGTTTCCATTCCTGTTATTGCATAGTGACGTCTTTACCCGAGTAGTTGGTATATTTGATCTAGAATCTTCATAAAACACCTGAAGTTGATGCTCTATAATTGGTAAATGTGGAAATAAGACACTGTTTCAGTACATCAGACCTTTGTGAACAGAGCTCAGTGTGAGATATTTCTTTTAAAGGTGCTGGATGTGATCGCGCCTCCCTATACGTCGGACTTTGTTCAACTCTTCTTGCCGATCCTTGAGAACGACAGCATCGCAGGAACGATCCGCACAGATGGAGAACACGACGCTGTTGCTGAGTTCATCGGTAAGTGGCGAGAAAGGAACGTTTATAGAAAGTCTATTATTCCTTTAATAAATGAAAGGAAGTCTTTGGGCTCTCATCCGTCTGAAGCACTAACATGTGGGTGATTGTTTTTCAGCCCACTGCAAGTCAAACTTCATCATGATCAACTGATGTGGAATTGACACCCAAAAAGGGAGACGTAAAGGAGGTGGAAGATCTGTTATCTGATAAGCAGGTGCTTGCGGCTGAAGCACATAGCTTGGAGGTGGATTTTTCATTTTGGCAAAGTGAAGTGGAAATTAGTTTCTGTTAAGGAAACATGAAAGCAGATGTGACTGTCGCTGAGCTGGCTGAGTGGTGTGAAAGTAATGACCCAGATTTATCTGACGATGCAGCTGAACGTTGCTTTTTTTTACCTGTATATTTGATTTTCTATATTTTATGTTGGTCTGAGCTCTTTTAAAATAAACTTTAAAAGGTTGCTTGTTTCTGTTTTTGTTTTTCATACAGTCTCGGACTGCGTAAATATAATCAGCTCCCTCTCATGCATTTTATTTGCATGAGAGTTTGTTTTAATATGGAGATCTGTAAACCTCAAAAGCTGCATATTTAATTGAAGCAGGTGATTACACACCACTTTTATTTGAAGTTTTTGTTTTCGGTTTGTTTCCAGGCTGACTTTGACGATTTCAGGTTAGTTCTTATAATTTTCATAGTTTTCTTTCGTCTTTTAATGATACGAGATATTTCTCAGATGCAGATTTAAGAAATTTAAAATACTAATTGCAAGGCAAACAGTACTGGAGGTAGTGAACTCACAATCTCAAAAATACATCACCAAAGCCTTTGAAGCTGGTTGTGTAAGCTGGTTCGGTGTATTGTGACCTCTCTCTCTTTTTAAAGCTAGGGGTCATTAGCATCAGTGGTCCCCTGCTAAGTCCTAGTGAACCAATGACTGTTTAACGATGCAAATTAGACCTCTTTAAAACATATTTAGTTCTACCTTTCTTTTCTTTTGTGTATGCTGACAGCCTTTCTGCACTCCTTACTGTCTTAAGAATTGTAAAAATGTCACTTCTGTAGTTATCTAAATACTTACCATTGGCTAACAATGACAAATGGTAGAGGAAGTGTTCCTTTAGGAGAAGCAGCACCTGTGTAGTCAGGTGTATTAAAACACCTGACTACACCAGCAGACAGGCACTCACCACTGAGAGAGGATCTGTATCTGTTAATCTTTATCACTAAAAATGTGTGTTCACAAATGAACATGGGTTCAAAGAGAAGCAACATCTTCCCTGCTGGCGTGTAAGAATGTTGCTCTTCAGATGGCTTGAAGGAAACTGCAACTTTCTGATAAAGGCCTTCACCGGGCTGTGCATTTCACCTGCACAGGCTCTTGATTTACAGTTGGTATGTAGTTCATTCTTTGCAGGTCTGTCACATTAATAGAAAATGCAAGATCTGCTTTTCAGTCTGAATTTTCCACTCACTTTAATTTCTGCTCTCAGGTCCTACACTCTCTCTAGCTTTACCCAGGCCGAGCCACCTGACAGTTTTTCCTTCCCACTGTCGCCACGTGCTTCCTCATAAGGAATCACCCGATTGTTTGGCTTTCTCTGTAAACGAGAAAACTCAATCAGGTGATGGTATAAAGGGCCGTGAGGCGACAGTGATTCGATACTATACAAATAAAATGGAACTGATTTGAATTAACTAATAGAAAACTTGTTTGTACCTTTCTGTGCCTTTTCTCCTTTTGTGTATCTGCTGGTATGAAGACTACTTATTTTGCAAAAAGCTTCTTTCAGTAAACTTCAGAAGCCTCTGAAATGTACTGGGCAAACTGCATCTTCCAAAGATCATCACTGTGTATTGGAGGAAATCATCTTCACCTGACTGACGTCAATTAATGGCGTGTGTATTAAAGTAAAGACAGTGGATGGTAAAATAGAAAACGCCTGAGAGGTTTCTATGAAACATTCTAACTCAAAGGACAGATGAAGTGTTTATTGGTACAGTTTAAAAACAAACTGTCACAATGAAATATTTTGGGTACAAAGTGTTCATCATAAAACAAATTACAAGAATCTATATTTGACTCAAACTGCACACAAAGGCACACAAAGTATGTTTATTTCAGTGTTTGCATTCTTCCCTGTGTAGTGCAACATTGTCAGTAGCAGTAATGCCACACACTGCAAACATTCGGCATCAGAGCAGTGCAGCAGAAAGTGTGATAGTTGTGTTCTTTGGCTGAATCACTGTGAATTTACAAATTAAAACTAAAAGCTTTCCTATGCTGTCTCAATACTGTAGGTTACAAAAAACCCTCTTTATTTACTGTGGTGACTGTTGCATGGCCTGAATTTTTCTGCAGAACAAAAACTTGCGTCATTCTTCTTTCTGATAAAACCCTTTAAAAGTTTAAATCTGTAAAACAGCCTGCACACCTCTCTGTGGTAATCAGACAGTTTGAATCGGCATAAACAGTTTGATATTCAGCTGGAAGACCCTGATAATGATTTAGGTTTAAAAAAGACAAACCTGAACTTATTCCCTTCTTAACATTAAAACACAAAAAGCTTTTCTTTGGAAGGCATCGGAGTGTCTGCCGACAATCTGACACTGGGCTCCTCTAGAGGTAGTCCTTGGGTACGATTGGGTCTCCGTACATGCAGTCCTCCTCTACTGCCAGGTTGTACTTACTGCCACTTCCTCCCTTGTAGGCACTGGTCACGATCCTGAGCCAGCCCTTTTCACCCTGAAGGCAAAAATAAAGAAGCCAAGACTTAAATAAGAAAGTCATTCTTTTAAGAAATCAGATACAGGATTTCTTTCTCAAATGAAATAATATTCTTGTATTTGTGACTGCGAAAATGCATTTGATTTGATAAAACCGGCTGCAAATTAAACAGCAACGAGAGGACATTTCATTAGCTATCTGGCATCGCTCACCCATGGCTCTCCCCAGGAGTTGCGTACGATCCAGTATTCGACATCGTCTTCCACTCCCCATCCTGCCACTGACACGATGTGGTTGATGGAGGCCTCCTCCTGGTACTCAGAGTAGAGACCTCCAGTGTACGCATCCAGCTTATCTGTGGCCATAATCCCGCAGCTAAGAAATTAAAAATCATTAAATACCACAGGTTACTTCCTCTTTCTGCTTAAAAGTTGCAGCAGTCACTGATGAGTTTAATGCTCTGCTGCACTGACAACATTTCAGCAGCAGATGATCGGATGCTGAAATGATGAAGCCTAGAGAAGCTACTTTAAACCACAGATCTTCTTGACTGCAGATTTAATTTAATGAACATTTATTTCCAAGACAGAAACATGATTCAAAGAAACTACAAAAGCTGCTCAACCCACCACCTTCTAAACAGAGTCAAAATGGGTCAGGGTTGTCAAACTGCCAGGGACAGGCAAATACACTTTACTGACATCACACTATAATGATTGTAGCTTATGTATGTACAGTATGTTCCCCATCACCCCCTAGACGAGCAGACCGACCTTGATGAAACTATATCTATATTTCGCATTCAACTATTTTATGCGATTCCCACAATCGTATATATTGGTACATTTGCTAGTAATAAATAATACAAGGCCCACTCTTACAATCAAACCTTCAACAAAAACTCAACTAGCTGCCATCACACAATTCAGTAAGTGAAGCACAAATATATACTTTGCTCACAAAAATCTTTGTGTAAAAGCGAAACACTATGCCTTTCATTGGGTTTTTACACATTTCCAAAAATCTCAACATGACAACTCAATGACTGGGAAATGCCAATAAAATTGGATGCTTATTAAAACCTAAGAACTACAAATACTCTCATCTGTCATTGCAATCACTTTATAATCTGCAAATAATGAGGATTTGCCCTCTGAGCTTTAAGTTTGACATGTGCCTATAATGCCACAAATAACAATTCACTTTCACTGCAATTGAAGGCGGTATATAAAACTACACTTCTGTCCTACTGAAGCTCAACCCAGAGACAAACTGTTTCAGTATAATCTTTATGTAGCTCCAACAGCTTCACACCTCAGATTTCAACTAACAGAAAAGAGACAAGAGGAAGTAGGAGTATTCTAGCTGCACCATAACTCTCGTGCATCATGTGCTTATTGTCATCACATTCATATACTGTATTTTTAACAAAATGTGAGTACATTTTGTTGAGTGGAAACTGAGTGGATAATGGAACCAAACCTTGAAAGGGAGAAATGTCACATGAGTCATACTTTTGATTCTTTTAAAAATCTGCGGGTGGATCGATCCAAATATTAATTTTTATAGATACCGGTGCTAGTGTTGCTATCAGATCAATACTTGTGTGTTATGATCCATTCAATATGTAGCCCGCTTCATTGTTTTAAATATATATATTTTT